TTCCACTAGGCTGTATTAGAACAATTATCCATGATCCATTAGAATTGATGCCCCAAATCTTCATCTAATCAAATGCAGTTTTATTAACCACTGTACATTTTTAATAGGCAGCTGGCTCTATTCATTGTAATTCAAGGTTGTGCTTCTGCCACCATCGTAAATCACTTGTTATGCTCTCCTGCTTTATAATACCGGCATAACCTTTTGCTGTATTGTGCTGTCAAAACATTCCAATCCAATTTGATGCAATTTGATCCTACGTGTGTGCATCCCTCTCTAACCTACAGAAGAGCAGAGATAATTGACCACATCTGAGAATTTTTTCTCCAAACACGTCTGATCATTAAAACTCTAAATAAATGAAAAATTCTTGACAATAGTGTTCATCATTAAGAACTTCTTTTCATAGGCTTAGCAAACAAGATGTGGACTGTGCGCAATGGCTAGTCAAAGATGGATGAATAATGGAAGCTTTATTTGCTGAGCATTCCAAAGGCTCCTATTTATGAGCAGCTAAAACATGATTCATTGGATCCATTAGTGGTTCCCACACCCGTGGCAGACTGGCAAGAAAGACCCACATTTCCAGGACTCGTGAAATGGTAGCCCTTATATTGCCTGAAACAAAAATGATTCCACACTATTTTCCATATAGATTGCATACTTGTATTGATTTTTCCCTGACTGTTTTGCAAGTCATAGATCTTCTCCAGATGCTCGGGTCACAGTTGCCAAACAGATGCTCAGTCCAAAGGATCTGTGGTCGTCCACCTCGACAGCTGTTAGGGAGAAACTCTGCCGGCCACAAAAACTGAACGTGGAGTAGAGAGTTGAACAAGGATGTAGTCGTTTTTTCTCTTATCTGACACTTGAAACACAATATGATGTATTTTGGCTTAGAAGCGTTTTCTTCCCGCTTTCTATTTTTGTATACGTACTATCAGAGAGGAACACAGGAAACCTATGACAGCCCAACCTAGACTGTTCTGAGACGAGACTAGAAATTAAGTTTCTGGCAGGAAACCACATGTATTTTGAAATCCGGTACAATGTGCAACAAAATCATCTCTTCCTCTTCTCTATCCTGTAACAATAGTCATTATCTTCTCTTACTAGAGAAATAGGCCCTTTGTTTTCTCTCTTGTTCATGGGGCACAAGAGGTGTCTTTACAGTGAAATGAACTGCTCGGCTGGACCTGAAGTATTTGCTCTCTTGATGTGCTTTCCCTCTATTGACATTCTTTGAGAAAAACTTAATTTTCCTTTTCATATCCGTCACATGGATATAGAATCAGATTTCATTATGTTTTTTCTATCTGTGGTTTCCCTAGCCATATCCAAGATGCAACTTGGGAAGCAATTCTTTAAAAATAAAAAAGAGCTTACAGCCTTTTCTTGCTTCTGATATTGAAATACACCAGAAGCACTGAGAAAGAAAGACGTGTGCCTTCCCTTATCTAGAAAAGCAGTGAAATGTCACTGCAGAGAAGGACCTCAAATGTGTCACAGCATTTCTGGAGGAAAATTGGATTTATCCCTGATGCGTGGCTGGGGGCCAAGGACCCAGATTAGAAGTACGAAATACACAATTTCTGCTCTGTAACTGTTTTCTGTGTAACAAAGGAATCCAATTAGTGCATAGTATGTATTGTGTATCTCCTTTATGTACACAAATGTGTGTGTGCCATCTAAAGGGTAAATGAGCAGAACCCCCAGCCCTGTGGCCTGAAGGAAAGAGGGCAGACATCCCTCCCACCAGGTGCACAGAATGCTTTAACAAATTAAAAACACACAGCAGTTACGAGGTGTTCCTTCCTCATATTGATGCAGAGAGACAACAAGGGCGGCGCTGACTGGGTATTTGAAGGGTTAAGTGATAAATATCTTCTCTAGGTCTCCTAAGAATGCTCTTTCATGAAGTTTTACACAGAAGACATTCCAAAAGGTAAGAATAGAAAATATAAACGTTAATTAATTTATTCTCTTACTTAATTGCATTTATTGCGTCTTCCTATATGCCAGCCACAAAGAATGATACGCATAGCACCATCACTAACGTAGAACTCAGAGTCAAATGAGTTCACACGAAGAAAGTCATGTGAACACAGGACTATGATACATGAGATCAATGTGGGGAAAAAAAGCATATTTAAAGTGCTCTGGAAACAAGGGCAGGAGTAATTCACCCTGTTTATTTTTTTAGGGAGGGATGTCCCTGCTGACACCTCCTATTCCCCTTTCCTGCTTTATTATTTTTTAAGAGCACGTATTATCACTTGATATAGTATATATTTACTTGTTTATTAACAAGTTTTTTTGTTTTTTTTTTTTACAGTGTGCACCAGCCCTACCCCAAATGTAAAATAGACCCCCTGAGAACAGGAACTTTTCAGTTGTGTTCACAGCTATATCCTAGTGCCCGGGACAGAGGTTGACATGGAGTAGTTGCTAAATACGTATTTGTTGAATGAATGAAAGGAGTGCCAGCTGGGTGCGAGATTCTGTATCAGATGCTGGAGATGTGGTGGTGAGTAATTCTCATGGTGAGCTGGACCACAGGCAGCTTACATTCTAAGGGAGGAGAGAGAAACAATACACAAATAAGGGTGATGATTTCACACGCAAATGAGCACTAATGACGTAACAAAAGTGGATGCCCCTGCAGAGTGAATAGGGCTGTTGCTTCACTTGAGAGGCCTGGCCTCTCTGAGGTGACTTTTGGGTCGATCCCGAGACGGTGAGAAGCAGGGAGCCAGGTGAAGATACGGAGAAAGAAGACTTCAAGGGGAAGAAAGAGCAAGTCCAGGTCCTGAGAAGGGAGTGAGCTTGGTGTTTCTCGAGAGCGACACAGGCAGGTGCACCCAGAAAGAACCGACAGACAGAGCGAGAGGTGAAGGGGCGGAGGTGTCAGGTCACACAGGACCTTGTGGGCCAACGCAGGAAGTTTGAATTTTATCCTGGTCTCAAAAGGAAGCCACCAGAACGGTTTAAGTAGGGGAGTGACGGGATTTGATTTATGTTTTAGAAAGTACATTTGCAGAGCTGTTCACAGTCACTGTGCAGAGGTGGTCTAGGAGGAGGCTTGGGGAGGCCTCGCCGGGGAGTCTGGTAGGAAGTTCAGGAAAGACGTGACTAAGCTTGGACTAAGGGTGTAGCAGTGAGGTTGGCAAGAAGCGCTCGGAGCTGGGATGTATCATGGAGGTGGAAGGGACAGGAGTTGAAGGAGGTCTTAATGAGGAGATTGAACAACTGAGTTAGTGAGTGGATGACAGAGGGTGACAAACAGGTTGGTTTTCGTTAAGTGGAAAATATAACTAGAAGAATATAGGCGATGTGGACGGACGGTGAGGCTCCTAAAGTCTGTTCTTTGGAAGTTTGAGTCAATGAGCTCATGAAGAGCACGGATCTGGAGGTTACCTGTACATAAAGGATACTGGAATTTGACCCTTGTAGCTGAAATGGGCAGGGCAGAAAGGAGGAGGAGAAACTGGCGTCAGAAGGCAGTTTGAGGGAGGGTGATAAAAAACAGTGCTGGAAACAGTAGAGCTGAGAAATGTTACAGAAAATTGATAGCCCGTCCATTGTGCCAAGACACTGCCAGATAGTGTCCACTGTCTGATAAGTGCTCCACTTATCTAATGCAGAGAAAAATCAGTTAAACCAGTGGAGCATCATATAGACAAAACCGCCAACAGCTTGACTGCTTTTCCCACATTTTAGCTACTTGCTTTTGTACTACAGACAAAAAACTTTTTTCAAGGATTGGAGGTAATGGATGAAGCATGGAAAAAAAATCTGGATTTGATTTCAAACTTGGTTTCAAATTAGTGGGGACAGAAATGCAGTGCTGCCATATATGGCCCTGAGAAACCAGGGGGAGAGAAAGGAAAAGAGGCCAACATCATTATCTGAACCAGTGAAAGGATGTCATTTCACGTGATAAAACCTAATTGAAAACCTTTACCTTTGGCTAAGAACATGTTTTCGTGTTTACATTTAAATACAAGAGGGTGTGGTTTTCAGGAAGTTCGTTTAAATATAATGAATTAATAGAGTGCAAATCGGACTTACAGATGCTGGGAACCTACTTCATTTCCCAGCATCAATTCTGTACCCGGAATAGATCACTCTCAATTCTTCTGGAAAGATGCTCTCACTTGAGCATTCCCAGGAAGATTGTGGGAAGAAGCTACGTGTTTGTGTTTAATGTCATGAAAAATAAGGAGATGAGAGGTCCACAAAGCTATAATTAAGCTCATTCATTTATTCATCTGACACATATGAATTACACTCAAATCCAAAAGTATGTGATAAATATTCAAACCTCTCTGAGGTCAGGAACCATCCCCGTTGCGTCTTTCTATCCCTTAGAGCACTCAGCACCAGTTTGTGAATTAAATGAATGAGTCTGGCAAAGAGAAAGGAGCTGGACCGTTTAGAGAAGCCACAGGGACAAAGTAGAATTTTAGCTTGTCCTTTAGCAGAAGGATAGTTTATCTAGAAATTAAAAGAGGCAAGGAGTTACAGCTATTAATAAATTTGGAAGTAAGATTTGCCTCCTAATCCAAATGTGGACAAACTGACTTAAGATCATTCATTCATTCAACAATTCATTTAGTTCCTACTATGTTCTAGGCATTGTGCTGTATCCTAAGCATGCATTATAAAATAAAATATTCAGTCTCTGCCCTAAGGAATCTTGAAATCTAGTGGGGAAGATAGACAAGAAACAAATAAATAGACAAGTTACTGAATTGAAAAACAAAAACAAGCAAGCAAACAAACAAAATCCAATTTTTTTTCCTGTGATAAGAACTTTTAAGATCTACTCTCTCAGCAACTTTCAAATATACAGTTCAGTTTTCTTAACTATCATCACCACGCTGTACGTCATGTCTCTAGGACTTATTTATTTTGTAGCTGGAAGTTTGTACCTTTTGTTACAAAAACATTTGTAACTATGTGGGGTGATGGATGTTAACTAGATTTATGGTGAGTTCATTTCACAATATATACATATACTGAATCATTATGTTGCACACCTGAAACTAATACAATGTTATATGAACAAAGAACAAACAATCCAGACTATTCTGATAGAAACTAGCGGAAGATCGGTTGGTCACGGTGCGGTGATCGGGGAAGTCTTCTCTAAGGAATGATGTTGAATTTGGATGGGAAGCAGCCAGCCCTCCTGCCAGCAGAGAATCTGGTGGGGGAGGAGGGAGTTGAGGTGGCTGATGGTCCACACAGAGGGAACAACATACGAAGCCGTGAGATGGAAATGTCTTGGTTCTTTTGGGAGCTGAAAGGAGGATTGGTAGCTCAATTTTTGAAGCTTGGTTTGGAATAAAAATGGGATATCTGAGTGGAGAGTTTCTAGAATAAGGAGGAAATTAACAGCCCAAAAGGAAATGAGTTGTCACTGGTGACATTCACTCATCATAAACCTGATCTGAGTCATTCTGGGCGTCGGGGAAGTAGCAGTAAGAAGCTTGCACTCTAGAAATAGAAAAGAAATAACTCAATAAACAATTTGATTTCAGATCATGATAAGGTCCTATTAAGATGACACAATATCCTGGGAATGATAATGACTGCTTTAAATAGGGAAGTCAGAGAAGGCTCTTGAGGAGGAGACACCAGCTGCAGAGGCTGCAGTGAGGGCATTTCAACAGAGCATGTGCAAAAGTCCTGAGATCTGCTGGTTCTACTTTTTCTATTGTCGCAAATGCTCAGAGTATTCTCGTGGTCCCTCTGTCCCACAGCACACAAGGACACCTCACTTCATCGTGTCCAGAGGCAGCATATCATCTCTGGGAAGCCAGAGTCGCCCGTGCATGCTCCATCTCCTCTCTCTCTGTGACTTCTGCCTCTCTTTCTGTCACGCTGTGCAGCTTATCTTCCCACCCCAGCTACACTGCCAGCAACCCCTTCTCCCTCCTGAGGGAGGCACAGTGAAGTGCTCTGTGGACTACAACCTGGGAGGAGCCTCAAACAGCGGAGGAAGTTTCTGTGGCCCAGGAGGCTGGGTCAGGAAATGGGTGGCTGTAACTGTAGGGATGGGCACAGTTCACTGACGAGCCTGAGACTCAGTTCAACAAGCTGGCACTGAGCTCCTGCTGTGGGGGTTCTGGGCCACTCGCTTGCATCTTCCTAACACACGTCTGGGTGTTTGAGAATGTGAGCTCTGAATGTGGATGCAAATGCATGGCTATCTACGTCCAAAAGAAGAATGGAGTAGAGAATCATGCTCTCAAAGGCAAACTGAGACAAACTTCGCAAATTGCAATTAAAGACGAACTGAGATGTTACCAAGTTGCTACTTAGAAACTATACAAAATATGCAAATATATTTTCTTTATAGAATTAAGCTACCCAAGAACCAGACTCAAAAACATTAATTGAGCACCTATTATATGCCAAGTCCTCTGCTTGGAAAACGGATTTAATTCTTACAGTGGTCCTTTGCAGTATGTCTAATTTTCCCCATTTTACGGGTAACGGGCAAGAGAGCAGCCTGATGCACTGGTCACGTCCTACAGACCGGCAGAGCAGGGGCGGGCACGCAGGTCTTCTGACCATGGATCCTGGGTCATCTCCTGAGACACCAACCACCTGCTCAGCATCATGACAGCACATTGGGAGGCAGCCTGGGGAGAGTCGAGAGCAGCGATGGCTACGCCCGATTGAGTGTGAGTGAGAATCTCAGCGTTACTCTTTCTAGCTGGGTGAGCTTGGGCCAGTAACTTGACTTTCATAAGCCTCAGTCTTCTGATCTCTACAATTGGAATAATAAAACCCATGTTGCAGGGTTGTTTAAGGACTGAATGAGCTTCTTCCAACAAGCATCCCTCATCATGCCTGGTACACGGCACTCAATAGATGGGAGTTACGTATCCTGTCAAAGGAGAGAAGTTAGCCCTCAGGGTGCTCTTTTTAAGCTTGTTCACATCCACCAGCTCCTTGTATTCTCTAGCAAATGGAGCTAGCTGGTGGAGGGCAGGGCTCCAACCTAACGCTGTCTCCAAGATGGTGCTCCTCGCTCCCCAGCCCTCTCCACCCAGAGTGAGCAACCCAATCATCCTCATTAAAGCAGGGGCTTCCCACTGCCCAGCCTCACGTCTGCAGCCGGGAGCAGAAGAGTCAGAGGGACATGAGTGGCCATCAGCAGTTAACATTCAATGTCTCAGGACATATCCACCACCCGAAGTCTCTTGTCACATTCTCTCCCTGAGGTTTCCAACAACTGAAGAGACTCACATTGGAATCAAAATGCTGCCTTTTTAACATAATGACTGCCCCCTTGTACCTTCAGATGCCTGAGCGGGATGATTTACATAAATGCCCTGCGCACTGTGTCAGAACATTTAGATATGAGCGTCTGAATCGGGCTCTTATTAAGAAGAAATTCGTTCCTAATGTAATTTAATTTTTTTGTATACTTACCCCATCAAATACCCTGCCTAATAAATTATGTAAAAAAAGTTAAAAATAAGTGAGTCACATGACCCTTGAAGTTAGAAAATAAATCAGGAAAGAAAAAAAGGGAAGTGAATTGTTCTAAGTATACCAGAAAGGCCTTATGTATTCAGAGACTCATTTACTTTTCTCCAAATCAATATGCAGTGCTCAACACAGAGAATATCAAATATAAAGCCCAGAAGATAACAGCAGCAATTGCAACATGCAATTGTGCAGCTGTGGTATCATCCCGCACTGCCCCCTACCCCCCAGCCCAGGCCCCTCCATCAGATGCGTTGCTATGTTAATATTTTAGGCTTAAAAGACCAGAATTAATGCATTCAATTTTGTCTCTGATGTGTTGGTTTTCTGTCAAAAATTCCTGACAGAATTAACAGCCGATGAATCAGGATAATTAGAGATGCAGAGATGCGCCCGATCACATGGTCCTTGGGCACACCATCATCTCTTGCTTGGATGCAGGGCTTTGGCACGAGATGACCCGCCTCGCCATTCTTCTCCAGGACAATTTTCAGCTATAAATAGGCCACCAATGATTTTTCTCTCTGAATAATGAATATGGAGGGTGATCTTCCTCTGTTTTGATGAACAAGAATGATTACCAAAATCAGACGAAATCTAGGGAGGCAACTGGAGGAGGTGTTACAAAGCCCCTGAAAGGGACAAAGTTTAAATTAAGAAGAGTTTATAGCCTTATCATTTTACTGATTCTTTTTTTTTTCAAATCATGAAATGGTTTTCTGTTAATAGAGAGATCCTGCGAAATAGGCAAAGATCCTCTGGGGAATGTTCCAGTTCATTCAACCCTACAGTGAAAATAGGGAAGTGTTTAGAGGAGGACAACAGAAACACAGGAAGTGGACAGCTGAAAATGAGAATGTGAAATTTTAGCGTTTTCACACTCAGTGCCAGCCTCTGCCCCTTCCCTAGGCCAACGCCTCCTTTTCCGACAATGTCTTCACTCTGGAACAGGAACATGGCAGAAGGGAGAGAGGAAGGGAGGATACAAGTGTCTGGCTGCCGGTGAAGTAAGTACCTGCTTTATGGTCAGAAACGATGAAGCTTTATCACCTTTCTTTCCACCAGTTACTCAAGAACAGTGGAGAATTCAGGGTCCTGCTGCTGTCAGCCGCCAAAACCTTCCTAATCCGGGCCTGCTTCTGGCTTCTAGTCCCTGGTTGGTTACTCCCATCTGGATTTCTCTACCTGCCTCTGAGAAATTTACTTAAATCCCGAAAAGACTTTCAGAGGGAGAAAATGCTACCACATCTGGAAAGACGCTGCCACAGATCATCCTGGTATCTGACCTCAGGGGGGCGTTTTTGAAGCTCTGTAAGAGAAGGGCTCAGCGTGGGATGCCTCTGACCTGCCCCTCCAGGAGCCTGGGCTTTGCCACGGGCAGCTTTCTGTGGTCAGCTGAGGATGCCAGCAGTTAGATGTCAGCAACAAGTTGTCTTCAAAAAGGGGTGGAGGGGCCGGCCCTGTGGCCTAGTGGTTAAGTTCGGTGCACTCAACTTTGGCAGCCCAGTTCACAAGTTCGGATCTCAGGAGTGGACATACACTGCTCGTCAGCCATGCTGTGGCAGCAACCCATATGTAAAGTGGAGGGCGATTGGTATGGATGTTAGCTCAGGGCTAATCCTCCTCAAGCAAAAAAGGAGGAAGGTTGGCAATGGGTGTTAGCTCAGGGCCAGTCGTCCTCAGCAAAACAAAACAAAACAACCCCTCCACACACACACAAAAAGGGGGTGAGCTGGGGGCAGAGCAGGAAGGTGAGGAGCACGTGGGATGAAGAAGGGACATATCTTCCTTAATTATTTCTTCTTAAGTCAGCAGAGGTTGGTTAGCAACAAGGGAGGGAAATAGTTGGTATGTTAGGAACAAAGCTGGTGCAATAAATTATGAAACTGGCTGTAGCAAAAATCCTGTGAAATATACCACCCACCCTTAGAAAGATGGCTTCCCTTTGCCCTGGGAAAGCACAATAAAGATGTTGGGTAATACCTACGCTTTACAGTAACCCATTACAGATTTCCAAATGCCCCATCACTGTCACAGAGCACCAAGGCCTGTGGACTCTGATTTACAGCTCCAGGAGCAGTGACAGACATAAATAATTGAATAATTAAATATGCACATAAATCTTTTCTCCAATCCCTTGTCTAAAATTATCACTCTTCTAAAGAGTGGAGAAGATTAATTTTTAATGTTCCTAAATTAGTTGGAATAAAACCTAAGAATAGGCACACTTGAACATTTGATAGAATGCGCTTTCTTCCTCTCATGGTGAGAACAGCATCTCAGGCCCCCTCGTGATTCAGCTGTTACTAAAACTTGAAAGGAAAATAATCCATTAAATAAAAAGGGCTGAGCATTGGAAAGCATTGATTGAATTGTCCTCTAATATAACCAATTAAACTTAAATCAGAAATACGGTCAAAAATAGAAGACATCTCCACTCTTGGTTATCCTCAGAAAGGAAAGCGATGTGAGATGTGGATCACATTGTAATGAGTACATGATTCTAAAAGTTGTTTTTATTTGATTTTTAAAGACATTGTATACATTTTCACTGCAGGAAGAAAGAGAATGTTTTTGGACCATGTTTGGGGTTAAATCAGATGTGAATGGAAGATCTCATTCCAATCCTTTGCACATAACCAAGATAATTCTTAATTGTAGGACCACCAGCCTACTACAGGCTTTTAGGCTCTGGAAAAAAGTCATAGGCGTGTGTGCATGTGTGAGTGTGTATGAGATCATTCAGAATAATTTTGAAAATATAACCTTCCCATACTGTTTCCTATTGTGACGTATAACATCTAAATATTTAAACATTTTTGAGTGAACTTATTTATTTATTTATTTTTGGTAAGGAAGATTGGCCCTGAGCTAACATCTGTGCCAATCTTCATTTTGTATGTGGGATGCCCCCATAGCATGGCTTGATGAGCAGTGCGTAGGTCTGTGCCTGGGATCTGAACCTGTGAACCCTGGGCCACCAAAGTAGAGAGTGCAAACTTAACTACTATGCCACCGGGCCGGCCCCTGAGTGAACTTATTTTTTAAGCATGCTTTAAAGAGCAACAACAAAATAGATAATAGGTTTGCATGTGGATCCTCCTTAACCCTCATCTTAAAGAATATTTTGGGAACCACAGCACTAGTATCAATACAATGGTGAGTCCTCCGATCTTCTTGTTTATTTAGAAAATCTAAAAAAAAATCAAACTGGTATGAATGAAAATAGACATTCCCAAGTATCCTTACTAGAGCAATATTGTGACCCAAATTTCTGAATAAAGAAATTTAAGTGTGTCGTAATAAGCTGCTCATTTCATAAAATACTGAAGGCCACAAGATTTCAGTCAAGAGAATTTGATTAACCCACTAAATTTCATTCAAACTGAATTTGACTAGGTCCTAGGTGGAAAAACTGGTCTCTACTGAGACACAATGACCGCAAACTGCAGCAAACTGCAGCGTAATGTGTTCAAAGCACGAGGATCTCCCAAATGGGACTCAGGGTAGCAACCTAGCCATCAAGAAGCAATTTAAGGAGCAATGAAAGCCGAAGGGCACAGGAAGGGAAAAGAGAACAAGAAACAAGGTAAGGGCTGAGGAGTGTGTGCTGTTCTTAAGTGCATCAAAGGTAATTATAACAAATATCCTAGATAGGGGGTCATTTTCTCTTCTCGGGATGAACTACTTTTATCAAAACATCTGTAAAATATCTACTTCTATAAATGTTTCAATCTAGATCTAGTGGGGACACGCTCAAACTCTTTTTTGTTTTTAACTGATGAGAGAATTAAAAAGTTCAGACACTAATTTTTCTAAAGAATTTAATGTTAAAATTATTTCATCCAATGAGACAGCCAAAAGCGTGCCTTTTCTTTGCCCAGAGCAGCCAACTTTGAAGGAAAAAAAAAATTTCCTAAACAATGAAAAAGAAACTTAAAGCAAAGAAGAGCATTGACAATTTGGTTTACAATGTCGTTCACGGCAGTCTTATTGATATGACTCCTGGGGCTTAGTTTTTAAATGCATAAGCACTTATGTAATGTATTTTAAAATTTATATCAGCTTTCAAATCATTTTTACACTGTGAGGTCTGGAAAAAAAATTAAGTTTGCGGGGGAAAAAAATTATTTTGCAAGTTATTTAGGTTAACATAGCAGTCATTTCATTTTTTCACCCCAAACCTGACTGTAAGTCTGTGATTTCAAGGCCCAGGAATAGGATCCCAAGTGACCGGGTAGAACCTTAGCTGTAATTTTACCCACCTGTGTTCAAGAGTTTACACTGATTTTGATTTGCTTCCTTCTCACTCATTTTTTTCCTGTTCTGTGGTTTCCATGGTGAATTCCTTTCAGGCAGGTGGACTAACCCCATCCTCCCTGGACTCAACAGTTCCAGGCGATGCATCTCAGTGGTCTCTGAAACCCAATCACAGCAGGCCCAGGTCTAGTTTCAGAAAAGAAATCTACTAGCAGAAAATAGATAAGCTTGCCACAATCAAAAAGGAAAATCAGGTTGAAAGACTTAATGAGGTTTTATCCTTGTAATTAGCCACATCGTTTTGTTAAAATTAAAAAAAAAAAAGGACTCCAATGAGCCTTCTGTGCTGTAATAACTCAGATTTGCATGGTGTGCTGCAGTGTACAAAGCTTTCTCACAGATAATTTCATTTTAATTTATATGATGCCTGCTTATTTTTCTGGCAGATTTTAGAACTCTGCTGTGATCGCTCATGATCTCAAGTTCGTGGCTGGCTATAAACAAGACCAGGGCAATGGGGGGCGGTGTGGGGGGGTTGTCTAGGATGAAATGTAACAGAGACCCATAATGGAAGCCCCGGAAGGCACTTGTTCATACGCTATTCCATTTCTAGCACGATCTCAGAGCCAGGATGTCAGAGATAACGTCAGTACGCGACTATTGTATTCAATTTGATTTTTTGTTATTCAAAATCGTTTCCTGGGAGACAGTATTCTTATTTAAACTTAGTTTTTAAAACCATTTCATCTTCACCACTGTTTCTTTTAAGCTTTCCAGATTAAATTCTTACAGAAAAGCCTCTTTGAAGGCATCATCCACAGAAATGAAATAGGAACAATTGAGCTACATGGATTTGCTTTTGAAATATTGACAGATTAAGGTAAAATCAAATGCCTCACCCTGTAAAAATAGCTCACATTCTTATTTGTAAAATTCAAATCAGCATTTCCTAGATCCAGTTTCGCTTCGTAATTTCCAGACTGCCACCTGGATGCATTCAGGCTGTTCTGTGAGTGACACAGTTGAGCTAATTTTGAAGGTTCCTCCTTTGTCTCTGGGCTCCTTCTTTTTCATCGCCCCAGGACTCTCTACCTCAAATTATCTGAAGCTATGTCTGAACATGAATAGACAAATGGAGAGCTGAGGCAATTATACTCTTAATTCAAGCAGAAAAAAAAAAAAATACACTTTGCCTGAGTTATCTGGAAATCTCTGGCAAACATCTTTTTCTGTTTCGATGGTGTGGAAGTTTGCCTCACCTCTTTTCTTTGGGGTATAGAGCTGGTCTGTGTCACGTGGCTCTGAATGCTCGGTATCTACACATGGTTGCCTCATTTCCTGTGCCTCAGACGGTATCTATTCTAGGAAGGCTCTGCCATGAAAGGAAGGTTCAGTGGTTCTGAAGCAATCCCTGTGAACTCTCAGATTGATATTTTAAGTTCTTAACTGATCTTGGGGCCTGTTACACCAGTCATGGTGCGCTGGACCAACTGACATTTTTATTCATTCGTTTACTTGTTCATCATTTATTCAGTGCTCTGTGCCAGGTCCTGAGGATATGAAAATGAAGATGTCTTGGCACCGTCACTTGAAGAGTTCAAAGACACATGAGAAAGTAGTTACAATACAATGCAATAACTTTGAACAATGAGTCCACTGTGGGCAAAAGCACACCCCCTCTAAAAGTTTCAAAGAGACAGAAGCAGAAGCAGCAAAAGCAATTTCCCACGAGGATACGTTTTATGCT